ACACAGCCTTACTCTAACACCAGAACCCATGACCTAGGGTCATGAAAATTTACAAATTTCGAAGAGGTACCCTCATCATCATAACTATGCAATTAGTTGAAGATTTTCAAAGAATTCAGCTATTTTCATTATATAATCAAATAGAGCCCCCCCCCCTTTCAGAGAAACCCCTGGGACCACAAGTTTTAAAAATTTTGTAGAAGCATCCTTGCTCATAATAACTATACACTTGTTTCTTTGCTTTATAACCTGGAGTAGAAAAAAATATTTTGAAAGAAATTATGAATTTTCACTATATAATCAATAGAGCCCCCCCCCCCCTTCACCAGAACCCCTGACCCAGGGGCCATGAAATTCACAATTTTGGAAGAGGCAGCCATGCTCATCATAACTATGTCCTTACTTAGTATACTTCATACCCAGGAGCAGAGAAGAAGATTTTCAAAGATTTAATGCATTTTAACTATATAATCAATAGAGCCCCGCCCTAACACCAGAACCCCTGACCCAGGGGCCATGAAATTCACAATTTTGGAAGAGGCACTCTTGCTCTTCATAACTATGTACTTAGTTAGTTTATTTAACACCCATGAGCAGAGAAGAAGATTTTCAAAGAAATAATGCACTTTCACTATATGATGTATACATCCCCACCCTAGCACCACAACCCCTGACCCTGGGGCTATGAATTTCACAATTTTGGTAGAGGCCTCAATCCTTATTACAATCATGCCAACAGTTTGACTGCTTGATGTCCAGGAATAAAGAAGAAGATTTTTAAAGATTGCATTAAATTTGGGGTTTTTAGCCCCACCCCTCAGGCCCCAGGGGGGCAGGGACCATGAAATTCATAATTTTTGTTTCCCTTCACCCATAATTGCTATATGCCAAAATTGGTTGAAAATGGTTGAGCGGTTTCAGAGAAGAAGCTAAAAATGTTCAAATGTAAACGCACGACGAACGCCGAGTGACTCAGGTGACCTAATAAAAAACTGCAATTTTTGGGAGAGTTTACTACATGTTCCGGTAATTGTATTTGGAGTTAGAAACCTCGAGATTATGACATGAGTCATGTAAAATTTTATTATACTATAGGTAAGTTTTTATTACAGAAATAAGTGCATGTGACTAGATATATGATACACTGTCATAACTGATGCAAAACAAAATTTTGGAATCAATTTCACACTGAGAGTCACATGAATAGTATATATTCTGACAACCATAGGGGCTTGTATTCCGGATTGTTAAATGTAAAATAAATTAAAAATTTTTGTATCTACTTTAAATACACTTTAAAGTTGTTACAGTAAAGATTCTGACACTTTCAGTCAAGAAAAACCATGTTTAAAAATCACGTACCACACCTATATACAGAGTTTATGTATACAGGTGTGGTACGTGATTTTTAAACATGGTTTTTCTTGACTGAAAGTGTCAGAATCTTTATTGTTACAACTTTTAAGTGTGTTTAAAGTAGATTAAAATTTTTTTAAAATTTATTAATCCGGAAGACAAGCCCCTATGAATTCAACGGTAGAGTCTATAACATAACCCAGTCACGGTTTCCGGGAAAATTATTTCCGGTATGGTTTTTTGTAATATAACGCATATTCGATCCCGATGCAATATAGTTTTGTAAACACTATGGTGTGTGGTAAATAATACGATCAATAGCCATAATCGGAGTCTTAATATTAGGACATTCAGGCGAATGAACGATTTTCACGAAGGTTAGGGTATTAAATAGTTACAGTGTATAACATGATAAATTAATAGATTGCGTTTTCATGGCCTGTTAGCCACTGGTAGAACTAGTGACCTATAGTTAGTATGTGTGTATACACAGCAGAAAAGACTTGAATTTCTCAATAATTATTTTTTACGGTAATCTTCCAAGGGTAAAAGGAATCCCGCCCATAAAGACAATCACGTACAGTGAAAAAACAATAATCCCTAACTTGTTGACCTGCAGTTTTACAAGAAGTGATCATTCTTAAATATGACCCATTAGGTCACAGAAAAAAATTTCCCAGTTACAAACCAACATAATCTAGTCTTTGAACAACATAACCTAGTCACTGTGAAACTTAACTCAGTCACTGGAAAACCTAACCTAGTCACTGTTCAACATATTATACTCAATCAATAACATAACCAATTCACTGTTCAACTGTGAGATAATGAACACACATACACTGGGAAACCTAACCCAGTCACAGTTCAACATAACCCAGTCTCTCAATAGCATAACCCAGTCACTGAAAAATATAACCCAGTTACTGAGAACCAAATCCCAGTCCCTGAATAACATAAACCAGTCACTGAAAATCATTACCCAGTCACTGAGCAACATAACCCTGTCTCTCAACAACATAACCCAGAGAGAAACATAACCCAGTCACTGTTTAACATAACCCAGTCACTGTTCAACATAACCCAGTCACTGAGGAACATAACCCAGTCACTATACAACATAACCCTGTCACTGAGGAACATAACCCAGTCACTGAACAACATAACCCAGTCACTGTTTAACATAACCCAGTCACTGAACAACATAACCCAGTCACTGTTCAACATAACCCAGTCACTGAGGAACATAACTAAGTCACTGAGGAACATAACCCAGTCACTGAGGAACATAACCCAGTCACTAAACAACATAACCCGGTCACCGTTTAGAATAACCCAGTCACTGAGGAACATAATGCAGTCACTGAACAACATAACCCAGTCACTGTTTAACATAACAGAGTCACTGTTCAACATACCCAGTCACTGAACAACATAACCCAGTCACTATACAACATAACCCAGTCACTGAGGAACATAACCCAGTCACTGTTTAACATAACCCAGTCACTGTTTAACATAACCCAGTCACTGTATAACATAACCCAGTCACTGTTCAACATAACCCAGTCACTGAACAACATAACCCAGTCACTGTTCAACATAACCCAGTCACTGAACAACATAACCCAGTCACTGAACAACATACCCAGTCACTGTTTAACATAACCCAGTCACTGAGGAACATGACCCAGTCACTATACAACATAACCCAGTCACTGAACAACATAACCCAGTCACTGAGGAACATAACCCAGTCACTGCTTAACATAACCCAGTCACTGAGGAACATAACCCATTCACTAAACAACATAACCCAGTCACTGTTTAATATAACCCAGTCACTGAACAACATAACCCAGTCACTGTTTAATATAACCCAGTCACTGAGGAACATAACCAAGTCACTGTTTAACATAACCCAGTCACTATTTAACATAAGCCAGTCACTGAGGAACATAACCCAGTCACTATTTAACATAAGCCAGTCACTGAGGAACATAACCCAGACACTGAACAACATAACCCAGTGACTGTTTAACATAACCCAGTCACTGAGCAACATAACCCAGTCACTGTTTAACATAACCCAGTCACTGAACAACATAAACCAGTCACTGTTTAACATAACCCAGTCACTGTTTAACATAACCCAGTCACTGAGAAACATAACGTAGTTTTTGAACAACATTACCCAGTCACAGAGAAACATAATCCAGTCACTCAACAACAAAACCTAGACACAGAGATATATAACCCAGTCACTGAACAACATAATTCAGTCTCCAAGCAACATAAACCAGTCTCTGCGCAACAAAACCCAGTCACAGAGGAACATAACCCAGTCACTAAGAAACATAACCCAGTTACTGTACAACAAAACCCATCATTGGGAAACCTAACCCAGTCACAGTTCAACATAACCCAGTCACAGTTCAACATACCCAATCAATGAACAACAAAACCCAGTCACTGTTCAACATAAACCAGTCACTGAGGAACATAACCCAGTCACTGAACAACATAACCCAGTCACTGTTTAACATAACCCAGTCACTATACAACAAAACCCAGTCACTGAGGAACATAACCCAGTCACCGTTTAACATAACCCAGTCACTGAGGAACATAACCCAGTCACTGTTTAACATAACCCAGTCACTGTTTAACATTACCCGGTCACTCTTCAACATAACCCAGTCACAGAACAGCATAACCCAGTCACAGAACAACATAACCCAGTCACAGAACAACATAACCAAGTCACAGTTTAACATAACCCAGTCACTGTTCAACATAACCCAGTAACTGAGGAACATAACCCAGTCACTGTTCAGCATAACCCAGTCTCTCAACAGCATAACCCAGTCACTGAACAACATAACCCAGTCACTGAGGAACATAACCCAGTCACTGAACAACATAACCCAGTCACTGAGAAACATAACCCAAGCATTGAATATGAATTAATGTGCATAATTTGGTCTCCATATATAAGGCATATATACAAAAGTGGTAAGGAAAATAATTTATTTGACACAATCATTATTTGGAACATAAACTAATGTTAAGCCTTTTTCTAGAGCTCTGCTCCCAATTTTTATACAAATTGGGTTTAGTCACTGAGGAACCTAAAGATAAAAATAACATAGATCAATTAATCCTAGGGGAAAAAAATTGCCACACAATATTAAGACCATACAAATGTATTACAGGTACTGTTTAAGAAATAATGCATGGTTGCACAAGTGTTCCTTTTAAATTATACACCCAAATCCAATGGTATGAATTCTGCATGTGAAATTCATTTCACTTGTCAGAAAAACAAAACTTTATTAGATATTTTCAAAGTCAAATTACATCAAATTTTATCAAATTCTTCCTACATTTGAACTAATGTTTCTAGTAGGAATTAATGATAAAACAGTCTGGGACTGGTGTGGATTTGATTTGAATGAAATCACAATTATTAGAGTTTATGAGTTCATCTAGAGTAACCAAATACAATTGATCAGCCCTGACAAATATTGTAAGTTCAACATTGTTGTCATATAGCAATTGATGTAGAACATCTTTTGCAATGCTATCACAATCGAAATATTCCAATATAACAAATTTGCAAACTCAATCAACCGAAACATAAATTTGTTATTTCAATGGATAGAGAAGTTCTTCAGCTTCTCTATATGTTATGTTCTTGACAACAGAAGCGATAATGATTCTTGCTTCTACAAGCAATACATCCTTAAAGTATCTAACTCCTTCATTCAATCTCTGTCCTGTCCTAAAAGAGAATGAAAATAATTAAGAATAAAGTTGTCTATGGAGATCAATCAAATCAAGAAAAAATCAGACGTGAATTATGATTAAATTATGGATATGAAGAGACATATGGTTTACTTTAAAAGTTAACAATTTAGTTACAAAGATAACCCCTGACTGACTTTACACAATATGCCTCTCCATTTTCTTCAACAAGGATGAATAAAAAAAATATCATACTCATCTTCCAGTGTTGCCATAAGCTTTCCATTATTGCAGTTTTTCAAACTAAGGTAATATCCTGGAGGACTGAAGAGACCACTAAAATCGACAAATTTTTTTAATTAAAAAAGTACAATGAAGAATGCTGAACATGACTTAGTTGTCTTTAATTTGTTGAAAAGGGGGAGTGGAATTACCTTGGTGCAAAATGTGTGCTTCTTTTATTTGATATTTATAAACAAAATAAAATTTTCACAACTTTTGATATCTGCCCTATATAATCTTTATAAGAGGAATATTATGTGTGAATGAAATTTTCCCCTACAAACAGTCTCGCTAATATGCAAAAATAAAGTTATCACCAAAAAAAAAAATTATTTACAGTACATACAATATTCTTTAATGGGTACATTATGTCTACCTCTTGAAATCAATCCTTAGTAAGCAGATGTACTGATGATATATGTCTAGAAATTTATTTATAAATCTTAGTCGGACTTATATGAAGTCTTGACGACAATTTTCTTAACTCCAAGAGTTAAATATTCACAAAGCTCTAAAGGTGATAGGTTAAGATTCATCTTCCGTGGTAAGTTTATATAGCTATAGAATAGCAAATTAAATTGAGGTATAAACTTACATGAGTGTTTTTGGTTTAAACAAGCCAAATTCTTTTAAAACAAGAGCACTCATTTCAGCCCATCTCTATTGGAAGGGAAAAAAAAAATAGGCAAATAAACTTGTTTCCTTCTCTAACACACACACACACACACACACGCTCATATATATATATATACAGTCAAACCTCGTTATCTCCAACTCAATGGGACCGAGAATAAACTTCGAGATATCTGAGGGTTCGAGATATTGGGGGTAAAATACTTAAAATATTAAGTGCTTGGGACTTCCAAATCACTTCGACATATCCATAAGATTTGAGATATCCGTGTTCGAGATACCGAAGTTCAACTGTATATATGAGAAAGACTCTGTTCAATAAAAAAGAAAACAATCATGTTATAAATCAGTATCCATAACAACACCTGCACATGAGCAAGAATATGCAGGACTAGCCTTGTAAAATACATTGTATGCTTATACATTAAAATCTACAGAGAATACATATGGATGTTACCTCTTTATGAAAAAGTTTATTTCTTTCTTCCATTCCTTTCACAGAGTTATTCATCACATTATGGTCGGTCAAGTCATTCCTGTCAATCCATCGCATATATCTCCAGTGTGGTTCATAACACCTGTAAAAGGAATATTATAACACTCGATCAAGTTAATTTAATTTTAACCAGTTGTTACGGTACATCTTGTAAACCAAAGTGCATAAAACAGTGTTAAACTACAAAAGACATACCATAAAATCTCTTTAATTTCCAATGACTGGAATCTCATTTTATTGCCCATAAATTCAATGAAGACAATTTAAAAGTAAATGGCTGCTTTCAATGTTTATTATTTACCTCTTATCACCCTCTTCTAATTCCAATATTTCCTTCAGCTTTGTTTTGATGTCTTTTGCAAACTGTTAAAATTTTTAAATAATTACAGGAATTTTTTCTCCTGAAAATCTCTCTGCCATAAACAGGTAGTGTTATAGAACTATTACTAATCACTTAGAGCAGGCTATACTATCCCCTTTTTCACTCTAATCTTCATTGTTGAGCTTTTATATATATATCATGCTGTTTATATATCTAAACATCAATTCTTAATAAATTTCTCTAACTTGACCTGAAGATTGAGTCAGTTTCAAAAAGTGTTGATAGGGATTCAGAAAACTGATCAGAAAGTCAGATCACACCATATGATTGTGTGAAATAAACAGTAAAATTGAGTGATAAATAAGACAGAATTAAATTCTGAACCCAGGGCTGTTAGATAACCATGCATGCAACAGCTCTGATACTAAAAATTACCAGAGTTGCTATATTGTAGCCTTGTATGTTTCCTGTTCCCTTGTTTATGGGAAGATCCATCCTTGGCCATTCGCACAAAATGTAAACCAGTTTCATGGACTGTTCAGTCTATATATAAACAAAAAAATGTTAATTTTTCATGAACAATATAGACAAACCTTATTGTTTAACTTTTATGTTAAGTCAAATTTGATTGGTTTAAAAACATTTGTTAAAAAGTACTGCTACCCTCCACGTAACATTACATAGCAACGGTGACATTGCATGACGACGGGTTACAGTGCAAAATTGGGCAGAATGTATGCCCGTACCGTTTACTGTGGGTTCTTTTTTTAAAATGCTTTATTCTAAATAGATTTGGTATAACAAAGGAAAATATTTACATTTTTAAGGTTATCCCTTGAAAACCATTGCTTCCTGGTGTCCATCATGCTATCTTTAAACTATTTACATTATAAAAACTAGAGGCCCATGGGCCACAACACTCACCTGAGTAACTTTGGCCATGCTGTTCTTCACCAGACTTTCCCCAATGTTATACCTATTGTGGCCCCACCCTACCCCAAGGAGTATGATTTTAACAATTTGTAATCTTCACTACTCCAGGTTGCTTCCACATAAATTTCAGCATATCTGGCCCAGTGGTTCTTAAAAAGGAGATCTCCAAGGATTTTTTCATATATATTTCAATGTAAAAATTTGATTCCTGTTGTGGCCCCACTCTATCCCTGGGGATCATGATTTTAACAATTTAGAATCTACACTACTCCAGCATGATTCCACGAGTTTAAGCTTTTCTGGCCCAGCGGTTCTTAAGAAGAAGATTTTTTAATGACCCCACCCTATTTTTGCCTTTTCTTGATTATCTCCCCTTGTAAGGGGGTTTGCCCCTTATTTTAACAATTTAATTTCCCCTTCACCAAAGGATGCTTTGTACCAACTTTGGTTAAAATTGGCCTAGTGGTTCTTGAGAAGAAGATGAAAATGTGAAAAATTAACAGACGGACAACGGGTGATCAGAAGAGCTCACTTGAGCTTTCAGCTCAGGTGAGCTAATAATACGTTTTTAGGGTAACATGTGAAATTGTTATCCCTTGAAAACCATTGATGACCTCAGCTTTGCATCAGTCAGCAATGGTTTTCACAGGATATCAATTTAATGTGTTACCCTAAAACATCATACATGTTTTATTTTTATAATGTAAATAGTTTAAAGATAGTATGATGGACACCAGAAGAATTTGTTTCATTAGAAATGCTCATAGGAATATTTAATGGGTCAGGTGACATGGAAAGTAACCAGAAAGACATTGGAATGCATTTATATACTAAAGGTGTGAATTGCATGTATATTAATTATTATTATTATACTCACTTCAGCTTTTACACTCTTGTGCAACAAGGCATTGCATTCTGATATCTGTTCTGAAGCTTTCTGTTTAGTGGAAAAAATACGATGAATTAATGACTAGTACATTTAATAAGAATTTTCATTTGTATCATCTATATCGCTATGACCAAAATACAAGGGTTGTCCAGTAAAATAATAAAATGACTAGATTTAAAAAAAAAAAAAAAAAAAAATAAAAAAATAAAAAATCAGCACTGCACTCTTAAATTTACACTACACTCATTAACACAATAATTTCTTAAATATACATACACAACTCTAGCAATTTTTATAAAGATATATGTGTAAATATGGCATTATATGTCATATATATGGTATCACCTTACAGAACATGGATCATATCGTCAAAATGTCTTAACAACCTCAAGTTTCATTAATTTTGATAATCTGCTTAAAAAAAAGTGGATCTGCTTGCATCAATACACTGGATTTTCATTCATTAGATATGCAAGGGATTAATCTCTCTTGAAGTTTTGCATTAGCCTGTTATCGATGTACTTACAAAATTTAACTAAAGAAGCAATCTGACAAACCCGCCATTTTCTGATAGTATGTGTTGACAGCATCTTTCATTACTGCCTGAGTTACTACAACTGTTTACTCATATATGTTTTGGTCTGTGACTATAAGTCCAAAGTTCTGCTTAAAAAGTTCATAGGCCATTTTTATATCAAAGATCAAATAATATTCTATTTTTTCCCCTCTGCTTATATTGTTAAAAGGTCTGAAGAAAACATTTTTGGCAGTTTTTGATGAAAAAAAAAAATATTTGGATGAAAGATATTATAATGGGTAAACCTCATTTCCCTCCTAAAACACAGATTTGTTTATCAATTTAAAAAAAATTATCAAACCTAGCTCTACATAATCAAAGGGAATTGCTTTCTCTTATAACTGTGTATACTTACTGTAAGAACTGTAGAACTCTCTCCCAAATGCCTCACCTTTGAACAAGGCACATATCTAAAATAAAAGAAAAACATATTTACCTACAAAAATGAAATGACAAAATAAAACTGTATGTACACATGCTTCTAATAATTCTGTGTATATGCAAGTTAACATTTAACCAGTGTCTAATAATAAATTAAGCTAATTGAGTGAAATCAACCAAAAACACACACACACATACACCCTACACACAAACAACATATTACCGATCATTAATACAAATCATACACATAAGGTTTACATAAAATGGTTTATGAAAATAAAAAGTAAATACATTGCATATAATCACAACAAATATAGTTAATGAGCATACTGAATTTTGTGCCTGGTGCTGAATTCAATAAATTCCAAAAAGGGTGCTTTTTATAAGTTACATGCTTGTATGTTTACTAAATATCATTATTAGTACTGATAACATGCAATAATATTTAGTATGAAACTTTCATGTACATGTATATGATTGAATTTGGAACATCTCAAAGATTCCCATTTATAAACATAAAAGGATGAGGGAATCTTTGCAATGGTTGTTTGCTACAACTACTCTGTAACTCAAACTGCTGAACTTATTGCAATTGCTTATAAAGAAGTCTAAACTAAGAACTTTTCTATTTCAATGCCCATGCTGAAACTTTTGTGTACCTTCCTCTAATATCTGAGTACAAGAAAGATGTTCTCTTTCTTTTCTGAAAAGTAATTGATCAAAGATGAACTTTTTGTGTACTGGCCTTCATTATTACCTAACCATTTTATAACTGTCAATAAAACCGTTATTTAATTGAAGAATATTGGCTTTGCAGGACAACTGTAATTGTTGATTAATTAATGACAAAGATGAACATGCACACTTAGGTATTCATACGTAAGTTCTACAGAAATAAATTAGTTTAACATCTCATTGACAACAGAAAAAAGCTGTTAAACAAAAAAGTGATTTTACCCCAAAATTGTTAAAATATTTTTACCTTTTTGGGGTCTTTCCTCAAATTATATTCTACAGAGATCTGAAATCATTTAGCATGTCAAGTTAATAAATATATTGTGAATTTGAGTACAGAAATATATGTGTGACATATAAAGAAAACATTTTCTCAAGAATATCTCTTTCAGATCCAATTTACCATTTCCAAGTAACTTACAATATACAATGTTCAGTGACTGGGTTATGTTGAACAATGACTGGGTTATGTTGTTCAGTGACTGGGTTATGTTATACAGTGACTGGGTTATGTTCCTCAGTGACTTGGTTATGTTGTTCAGTGACTTAGTTATGTTTCTCTGTGACTGGGTATGTTCCTCAGTGACATGGTTATGATGTTCAGTGACTGGGTTATGTTGTAAAGTGATTGGGTTGTGTTAAACAGTGATTGGCTTATGTTGTGTAGTGACTGCGTTATGTTAAACAGTGACTGGGTTATGTTAAACAGTGACTGGCTTATGTTGTTCAGTGACTGGCTTATGTTGAACAGTGACTGGGTTATGTTAAACAGTGACTGGGTTATGTTGTTCAGTGACTGGGTTATGTTGACAGTGACTGGGTTATGTTCCTCAGTGACTGGGTTATGTTGAACAGTGACTGGGTTATGTTCCTCAGTGACTGGGTTATGTTGTTCAGTGACTGGCTTATGTTGAACAGTGACTGGGTTATGTTCCTCAGTGACTGGGTTATGTTGAACAGTGACTGGATCATGTTATACATTGACTGGGTTATGTTAAACAGTGACTGGGTTATGTTGTTCAGTGACTTGGTTATGTTGAACAGTGACTGGGTTATGTTCCTCAGTGACTGGGTATGTTCCTCAGTGACATGGTTATGATGTTCAGTGACTGGGTTATGTTGTTCAGTGACTTGGTTATGTTGAACAGTGACTGGGTTATGTTAAACAGTGACTGGGTTATGTTGTATAGTGACTGGGTTATGTTGAACAGTGACTGGGTTATGTTCCTCAGTGACTGGGTTATGTTAAACAGTGACTGGGTTATGTTGTTCAGGGACTGGGTTATGTTGAACAGTGACTGGGTTATGTTAAACAGTGACTGGGTTATGTTCCTCAGTGACTGGGTTATGTTAAACAGTGACTGGGTTATGTTGTTCCCCAGAGAATGGATATAGCCCGACTGGTCTAGTTCTCATAAAATTAATGTGAAACCCTAGACAGTGGGTTATCCTTCTCAGTCCTCATCTTTGCCTCATTATTAGTTTATTAGATGTAGAATAAATAATGCATACTTACATCTTCTCTTGCTTTGCTTTGTTTCTTTTGGTTGTTTCTTTCGTCTCTGTCATATCCCTGGTGACATTCCAAGATTTTTTTGCCCATAATAATGAAAGGGATAGCATCATATTCTATATGGGGTTCAGCATTTTCCTGTGTGTCCACAAATCTGATATGGGATTTATCAATCTCTCCTACATCTACAGTAATTGCAAAAGAATTTTCAGTGTAAATTGGTATTAACAAATGTGAATCTGAAAGGGGGGGGTTACTTTGAACAAATACATAAAAAATTTCTAAGTTCAACTTCTCAACTTTTCTGGAGAATAAGTTGAGAAGTTTTTAAAAATGTTTACAACACCCAACACACCAACAACACAGACAATGGACAAACTTCAATCACAAAAGCTCATGTGAGCCTAGAATGGGGATGGTTACCCTCTTACTTGTTTGACCCATGTGGTTTCGACATAAATCCATGTTCGACACAAGTGATTTCGTTCTGAAGCAATTAATTAACACTTGCAACAGTTTCACATTTTGTTTTTGTCTACATAGGATTTTTTTATCGACAATGCATATTTTAATTATTAATTTAAAAGCTATTATGTTATCAATATACAGCTACCCATGTACTTACCTGTGAGCAGGTCAAAACCACTTAATAGGTCGTAACCATGCAGGACAAACACGGAATCAAAATGTAACCACCCGACACCATGAGTCTATGGTTCAGGTGAGCTTAAAATTGTTACAATAATGAGAAGATTCAAGAAATTATTTTGCTGAAGTTGCATTTAAAAATAAAATATTGCAACAAGACCTTACCAACATCCTTTCCAAATTGTATGGAACTTTTTAAGCATCGGAACCTAGAGGAAGTTGCATAATCGTACTCCTGTAACAACTTGTACAATTTTGTGGAAGATGTCACATACCCAGATAGTGATGTTGATCTTACATCGAACTGATCTTTCCAAGTGTCACTATGGATAAGGAAAAAAAATAATAATAAAAAAACAACTGTTAACACTCGACTAAATTTGGCACCCTCTCTCTTTGAATCCGGGTATTATCAGTGATTATATCTTTACAAAAACTTATCCAGGTGTTGAGAATTTCTTGAATACCGCATATTCACTATATCATAATTATCTTCATACAACATTCTTACCTTGTTTCTTCGTCCATTTCATACAGTTGCTGAGATGAACAGATGAAAGGATAACGGCATTCAATACCTCGAACTTTTCCTTACTTGGATTTCCCGCCTCAATGTCACGAAAAATACAATCGGGTTCGGTATTAAATAAAATAGTACATTTGAAAACCATACCGGAAATAATTTTCCCGGAAACCGTGACTGGGTTATGTTATAGACTCTACCGAATTCAACATGTCCAATAACTTACGTATTTTAAAAGAGTGTTGATAAAATGGGTAGGCAAACCCGGGCCGGGGCAAATTAAAATCCGGGGCTATTCGAGATTTTTTAATTTTCTTCGCTAATACTCCACCAATCGATTTGAAATTTTCAGATTATGTTTCTTAAAGGTTTTTGAGTATTCGTTGTAAATATCACCTTGAAATACACAGGATTTTGGATTTTCTAGGCGATTGTTTATTTCCTAGTTGGTAAAATGGGTAGGCAAAATCAAGACGACGTTTTACGGTATTTTTAACTTATGGGTCAATACGTCAATATTATTGTGGGTTTTCCCCATGATTAACACGGCATATTAACTATAACTAATGAGTTGTACATCACAAACTTCTAAAACTATGCAAAATTTACGCATTTTCAGAAAAACCGGGTCATTAAAACCGGATCCGATCACCCGGAGCAAACCCGAAAATTCCGAAAAAATGATAGCGAATTGTTCGTATCTAATTTAATAAATTAGACTTCAAATCATTGCAGTTAAAGACCTGAAGAAGTATGTCAGTTTAGGACACACAGAGAATACTAATAGCCGACAGTACAGCAAACAATCTCTATTACTATGAGGCTCCTGAAGGAAATTTTATAACTTACTACAGGTCCGGTACAATCTCTTGATTTAGCTATATAGCTAGATTTAGCTATATAGCTAGATTTAGCTATATAGCTTTATTAAGCTATTCAGAATAGCTTGATTTAGCTATTTTACCATACTTTTTTCTTAATGCAGTGATGATATTCAACCTTGAACTCTTTTGAAAATAATGCATGTAAAAATCACTCATCAACATGATCAAATTGGGTCTCCTTAAGAGAATTTGTACTCAAAGTTCTAAACGTTTTGGGGCTATATAAAGCAATTGATACAGTTACTTCTGCAATGAAATTATAAAGGAGGCCAATTACGGTCAACAAGATAATTGATTGGTAATAATTCAGTACAATGAGAAGCAATCATACTTATCCACGCCTCAACGCACACAAGGTAGTGTACAGTTACTCAAACAATGGAAATACATCTTTTGCTTAAAAGTATTCAAATGCTGCAATGTTAGAACTATCTTTGATTTCAGTTGTTGTTTTGATAGCCCATAATACATATATATATATGAATAGTCAAATACTTGCGACTTTTTCTTCATTTCTTACAAAAAACATTTTTCTGAAAAACTGCATATAAATAGCTTTATCAAGCTATTTTGAATAGCTTAATAAAGCTAAATAGCTATTTCAAGCTATATAGCTAAATCAAGAGATTGTACGTGCTGGACCTGTTTAAGGCTTGTCCCGAGACACAGTTAGATTATTCTAACTACAGTTTTTCCCTTCTTCAATACTGTGGTAAAATATTTAACAACACCCTGAACAACATCAATTATTTAGTATAATATTTAAAAACATTGAAAAGCCCTATATTTTTATAGCTCAAACAAATTTTTCTTCTTCCACCACGTGGAGGCAATGTAAACAAAGGACGATAACTCTAGATGTTTCTCACTTTAAGTGTTTGAGGCGAAAGAATGCCAGAAATAAAGACTAAATGAATCAATTTTTATGTGCAAAAGAATGTTAAAGTGAATAAAGATAAATAAAATGAGCTATACTTACGTTAAACGCATAAATCCAAAACCACACATCCAGTTCCTGTCTAAATCTTACAGGAACTGGTGCAGATTTCGTACAGTCTCGAGGCAAGGTCAACAAATCCCCCCCCCCCTAGTTTTTAAGTGACAAAGATACAACAACAAAATCAATTATTTATAGTCAATCTTTTGGAAGAGCAGTTGAATTTTGTCCGACAAAAGTGTTTTTACAAGTAGGAGAGAATGACATTTTTTATGTATCAGAAATCAAGTGTTAGGAATATACAAAAAATTATCGAAAAATTGTTAAGAAATGAGTCAGTTCAAAAAATATTTATTGGGAGTCTATTTAGGCAAATGATTTGTGGAACCTTGGATCCAGGAAAGTACAATTCTGCAGTTTTTGACATAAATAACGCCCTTCGAAGAAAATATGCTAATTCTCAAACTGTGATATTTATTATGGAGATGTAAGGGTTTAATGAATTCAAATAAAACATCTGGCTTTGAACAGAGAGGCAACGGAGATTTTTTAGTCGACAAATTCAATTGCTGCTGATCACATAATTTTGAAACATGCATATAGACTAAAACTCAGGTTTGAAAAATTCACACTTATGAAAGAACTTCCAGGCTTTCACATATATTAATCTTTATGTGAATTGTTCAAATATTTAACAGTGAACATTGAGCTAAACATTTGTATAAGCAGCATATCAATTTACCTTGATAAAAATAACTCAGAATAAGCATAATTTAATTTCATAATTTTTTTTTTATTATGACAACATGCATGCTGAATAAAAAGACATATGAAATCAAACTTTAAAATGTTTTATGCACATGTATTTAGTTTATCCTGCGTTTGTTTAGCGGTCACCCAAGTTTTTCATTATTTAGTTGAAAATCAAAGGGGACTAACTTCTCTCAAAGTAATGTGAAAATACCCTACAAAATCAATTGTGCATTTCCACGGCATCAAAAACCCTGACCCTGTGGTTATGAATTTTACATACCAACACCCTTGCTCATTACAACTTTTCAATTGGTTTGCCTGCCAAATGCCTACAGAAGGGAGAATAAGATTTTCCAAAATTTAAGGCATTTCACTATATGATCAGGAGAGCCATGCCTCAAGACCACCCTTCTCCCCCAGTTTTTGCTTTTTCTTGATTATCGCTGCTTCCAAGAAGGTATGGTCCTCTAATTGAAGAAACTGAATTCCCTCTACTCAAGGATGCCTTGTGCCAATTTCGGTTGAAAATTGATGTTCTGGAAAAAAGTTCAAATATGTGAAAAGTTTACATTGACAACAAAGGACAAATTTCAATCAGAAAGGCTCACTTCACTCTTTGCTTCAGGTGAGCTAAAACAAATGAATGCTAAAAATTACTTCAAACATGCTTTTAAAATGTAAAAATTAACTAATTAAGTTCTCTCTGGACTGCAAATCTCAGGATAGGGAAATTTGATATAGATTGGCAATAATCTGAACGGATGAAAGGAACTCCTCGCTTAACAAAGCACATGATCCTGAGATGAATTCCTGCACTGCCAGCTTAACCAGATGAGCAAAGGCCTAAGGCAAAAGTCTGTCTACCATTGCCAACCCGCTACTGGACTTTATGCACAAGATATAGGTCCGTTTCTGAGTGCTTCTGGGGTTGCACACATGAAACGAAAAAACAAAACATATTAAAGCATCAATCACCCTCATTACTAAAGAAATGAATGATAATATTTAAGAATTTTTTACTACAGGAAATGCTAATCATAAATTATCCATTCAATATTCTAACTTTCTAAGCTGTATATTTTGCTTTCATAATCAACAAGATGTTCAATAAATTAAGATTTCTTCTGCTTGAAGCCTTTTCTAACTTTATAACCTAATTTAAGATTAAATTCAAAGATTAAAAGAATAATTTCACAAAGCACTTCATTTATTCGAATTAGAGTCTCGTGAAGATTGTTATTTGCATAATATAAGTGACTCCATTAACATGTGTAGTGAATATCAAGACTAAAGTTTTACCATCCTTTGTCTTCAATTTGATTCTCCTCCCAAATTATTGCAATGGTGGCATTCTCACCCTCTGCTGGAATCCAAGCTGACCATTTACCCTGCATTAAAACACACACAATCCCGAGCTTACTTTGACCTCAATATCAAAAGGAATCTTTTGTAAGTCATAGGTAATGATTTAAATCTCACATTAAAGCTAGTTTAAGAAGACTTTTAGAGATATCATTTAGAAATTCAGGTATTATATATGTATATATACATATATATATTTTCAATTGCAAATGTTTTCCTTTGTTTAACACTATTTGAACAAGACATACTACATATGTAGTACTTAATTCTGTATACAAATAGGTTTGTCATATGACCATAAATTTTAAATTGTCATAAAGGATTGACATAATTTTACAGTGATGTCATAAGCAGTCAACTTGTTCACACATTCAATTTATGCTATTGAAGTTTGAAAAAATAAATCATTTCATGGATTTAAAACTATAGTGTGCAAACAATTGTTATAAATCGGTCCAGAATGTAAAAATAAGTAATAAGGTATCATTTTAAAATTTTTATCATGATGTAAATACGAGTTGGTATATGATCAAATCCACCATAAAGGATTTGATCACATGACCAATCCATATTTACATTATGATGAAAATTTTAAAACAATGCCTTTTTCTTAAGTATAACAGATAGACTGACAGACAGATGGATAAACCCATATTAATATGCAATGCTTTCAATAAAATCATGTGACAATTAGCTGATTTTAATGGCCTTTTCAAAGGTATTGCTGGCAAAAAAGAACCATATATTAGACATTATTGAATCTCAATTCAAATCATGTTCATAAAAAAGATTTATAATATCATGATGATACTTTTTTTTGAAAATGATCATCAAATTGTCTTAAGTGCAATAATTTCATTTTTAAAATAGCATCAATAAATTTCTAAATAGAAAGCAATTGGGTAATTTCTATAGTAATACTCCACTATAGATGCCAAAAAATTATTAATATGTTACTATATAATTATGTACCAGTAATATGTTTTAATAATCCAGCCTTGTATTTTCCCCAATTTTTAGATATTGGATTGAATTTTTATGCCCCCGGATCGAAAGATCCAGGGGGTAT